AAGATAATATTTCATTTGAATGATGTTATCATATCAAATGCCCCAACCCATATTTTACGTTATAACTGAATTCACTTTGGTGATCATTTAAGATGTAGTGTGATATATATTGGATGATATTTACAACTTTTCACTTATTAACAAAAAATATATATACCATTTTCATATATTGTCAAAAGTACCATTGAATACAAGACAAAATAGATAAAATACAAAATATAATTATAATGACTAAAATATCTTTTTTTATGATAAATGGGGTAAAAAAATCCAAACAACAAGAACAAAATTAATCAGCCCTTCTAAGAAACCAGAAAGCTAAAGCATTCCTAATGAGAAAAGGTCACAAAAAGGGAAAAGGGAGGGGGAGGGGGATTATCAAAAAATGAAAAGGGTAAACAGTCCTCTAGACCAGCTTTGACTAATCTATCAGCACTTTAGTTAGCCTCTCTAAGGAAGAAATTAATCCTAATACAATTGCTACTTTTTAGTAATGACCTAATATTATTAATCAATAGGAATAAGAAATAATTATAATCATGTGCATTCAAAATACGAGACATAGTTTCTTTACAATTATTTTTTTATCTAGATTAACTCAAGACCTTGCCGGAAAACAAGCTTGATCCTAAAAAAAACTCCATAACTTAGCAATTAAAGGAGAACAATGTTCTAAACTACTTTGAAATCCAGCTACAAAATCTCTTTTAGCATGATTAAGCCTCCACGTCCAGCAGCAAGCTCATATTTTGAGATTGATCCATCCACATTCAGCTTAAATTACCCTGCAAGGGAAGGAGACTACCTAATCTGATTATAAGGATTCAGAAAATTATAATCAGCTTTGCATTTTAGCCTTACCACAAAAAAAAAATTACTAAAATCACATAGAATCTTATTGATTAACACATCAGGTGTGAAAGTAGAATTCTGAAAAATCTCATAATTTCTATTATTCTAAAGATGCCATATAATAACCCCAAAAAACATATTCTAGTGGACAAAATTATTGTGGTCAGATTTAGAAAAATTAGACTTTGGTCAATTAGAAAGCCCTAAACTGAAGAAACAAGCCCAATTAGTAGGTAAAATAAAATATTTTCAAACCTGTTCAATAAACCAACAATCTCTTAAGACATGAGGACAGATAAATATTTTCTATCTTTCTTTTAATAACTAATATATTTTGATTAGACTCTAACTTTTTAACAATATTTAAACTAAGTAAATATTTCTATAATAAAGGAGTTAAAAATAAAAGAAAGGGTTTAATCTATTTTTAAAAGATCTTTCTAAACTTTAAAAAAAAAAAAAAGAATGCGTAAGAAAGCAAAGTTAGAAACATAAATATATAAAGTTTATATATATCAGTTAACTTTTAAAATAATGAGTTATATTTAGTCCTTAACCTTAGTTAAAATTCTGCTCAAGTAATTTTGTACAAAACCTCTAAACTCAAATAAATTTACACACTACCTCTTTAAACAAACAAATACCGCTAAAGTACTATTACTCGGTCTCTTCACACTAACATCATTTATATACAGGAAGAAAAAAATTAAACACAGAAAAAATGTTGAATGAATGATTTTGCTACTCATATGTTCTTGCACTTGTACACTACTTTTTGCATGGAATTGTCTTTAATTTTTAATCAACTTACCCAAAATTTACAATAGACATTATCATATATTTGTTAGACTTAACGAACTTTTGCCAAAGGTTACTTGATGTGTATAAAGATTTTTTTTGAGTTTAGAACACTTTCTATTCTTTATCTTTGTGTCTTTTTTTCATTTTGGTGTAAGATGCAATGACAAGAAGAAACTGCATTTTTTTAATAAATAAATATAGTGTTGTCATTCTTGATGAATATATATTTTGAATTCATAGTCAACTCTTTATGCATCTTTGATTTAAAAATTTTTGAGCTTTGCATTTGCAATTTTCTGCTTGAATAGCATTGCTATTAAAGCAATTTTTGTACTTGGACTATTTTATGAGAGTATATTGACGTTGGTATTGTCTTCTATACTGTCTTAGACAAATTGATCTAATCTTAAATCATCTTATAGACAGTACAGCCTTTACTAGTTGTTTGATCATAAGCACTGATATATACAATCACTTATGTAAGCAATTGCATCACAAGGTAAAAAGAAAAAAAAAATCTGCTTATGTATACATAGAAAGTTCCATAAAATGCTTTAGCATCCAAAAAGCATGACACAATAGAGGGTGAGAGTAATACTTTCTTAAACACTATAGTATTTGATTATATTTTTATATTGTAATCTTAATTATTAATGTGCATTTTTTTTAAGGTTTCTATGGTTTAATTATATATTTAAGTTATCAAAATTTTGTTTAATTCATGTGTGAGAATGGTAATTTTTCTTAATGACTATATCATACTTTAATTTATCAATGTATATACCAATTGAAATAAATGAAAGATGTAACGTGTATGTTGTGATTTTTTCTAATAATATTTAATAATATATATTACTCTTTGATATTTCATGTTCAAGACTATTGTATTATATCATATTACAATGATAATGATGATGTGTGTACTATGAGTATGTATGTTATAAACATATCTTTTAATGTTTTAATAAATGAGATATTTTAAATCATGTTTTTTCTATAAGAACATGATGTCTTTAGTAAATATAAATTTGGATGATATCAAGTAAAAAACTTGACTGTGAGATCTTATTTAATACTAGACAATATATGCATTGAGACTAGTGTGTGAATGAATTGATAGTCAAGTCTCATAGATTATTAATATAAGATATAGAATCCTCACACAAATACACATTAGCAATATTGATATATTAACATATCATGGATTGTTATATGAGTGTCACAAATGGTTCTCGATGTGATAATGGTATATGAGGTCCTTTGACTTGAAGTAATTACAACTTTTACAAGACAAGTACTATGTTTTAATTTCATCAAATGTCGATGTAATAATATTATCATAAAATTTGAAGTTAAACATAAAATAAATTATGTAGATGAATGTGAGTGATTGAGATTTGTTCTTCCTATGTAACAAAGTAGGTATCTATAAGTTCTTTTGATAAAGTTAGATTATGAAATGCATAATCTCTCCCTAGTTCTTAGTAACTCTAATCGTCCTTCCTGAGACAAGATCTAGTCATGATAAGAGAGCAACTATCCCAAAGATTTACTCAAGCAAGGGTTGATGACAGTTTGCAAGCATTCTAATTTTGTCTTAGTAAAAGCAAGAATCTCTTCTTTCTTAAAGAAAATTGTCTCTGAATTTATGGTTGTCTGTTTTGTATGTCTACGTTGAACTCCTTTAAATTTACTTTTATAATAAACTTGTTTTATGTGAATAAGTATTTTTTATATTTAATTATAATATTAAATATAAATATTAAAATTCTTAGTTCATATATCAACCGGAAAATGATATGCATTAAAGGTTACTCTACCAATTACATTTGTTTGTTGCTTCAACTAAACAAAAAGAGTGATCCAAAAAAGAAAAAGTTAGCTTATCCAAAATGACGAGAAACTCACTGCTACACTAGAACTTTTCATCTCTTTGTCATCTTCTAGTAATTATAATTGAACTAATATTGTGGATGGAAAAGAAAATATGTTAGATTTTAGTTTTTTTTTTAAATGCTAATTTTTAAGCTTTTTTTTTTAAAATAATATGAAGTTTATGTATATTAAATTTTTTGATAGATAATAACACAATTATTTTTAATTTTGTAACTTTAAATTTGTTATATATATATATATGTAGAAGAAATTAAATTAAATCAATATAAGTTATATTCACTCTTACATTGTTTATATCTTAATATAAAAATAATTTTAATCAATTTAATTATTAAATTATAATTACATAGATCGTTGGTGTCAAATTTTATCAAAATTAAATATTTATAATATTTTTTTATTAAATAGCCTTTATTTTTATATATTTCAAATGTATCTATTTACATTAATTTGATATATATGAATAAAATATTAAATCATTTTAAATTAATCTCAAATTTTGTATATATAACATCTGTGATTGAAAATTTTAATCTCCTGGTTGAATTATGATTAAACGATATAAGAGTGAATATGCACGCACGTGATTGTACTTGTATATGATTCATTATTAAATAAAAAATATTAATATCATCAATTTTACGGTTTAAATATGTTTCTGGCTCAAACAGAAGCATTTCTTTTTATAGTTTGTCTATTTATATATTTTTCTTCATAATCTTTTTAGTTCAAAAAAAATATTTATTTTAATTACTTTATTGTATTTTTTAGGACTAGAATTAAATATTTTATATTTTATTAAAAAAACCATTAGAATTAATAATTTGAAAGAAAAAATTAATTTATATACAAAAATTAAATACAAAAACAATTGAAGAATACTTTTTTATATTTAGTATATTATCACTCAGGTTAAACATTTTTTCAATTCTTTCATTTCTTATAAGAAATTATTTTTTTATTTATTTGTTTATATTTTTAAAGCAATAATAAATTTAGAATTGTTTTATATAAAAATATTTTAAAATGTTAAAATTTAAATCAATTTAGAATTCTGTTATCAAAATAATTTTATAACTTGTTCACTTCTAAAGAAATTAAAAATGAAAATTGAATGAAACCAAAAATATATAAAGAAAAACATATAACTATATTTCTTAACATTTCACATATAAAATTATGAACAATAGTAAAAATATTATATTGAAGTTTTTTTTTTCCTTTCTTTTTATGATTAATTTTTAATTTTTCACAACTTAAAAAATATGTTTCAATGAAAAATCAGTCCTCAATGGGAATGTGATCCTATTTTTATTTATAATAAAAACAACGGTACGAGATATTAACTTCATTTTTTTTATTGTCTATTAAGACTATACAAATTTATTGCTTGATTTTTCTTACTTTTTGGGCAAATGAAAGGAAGAAAGATTGAAATTAAATTTCAGTTGTTGGGTGGCAATAATAGTTAGATGAATAGTGTCCAAATTTTATACAGTCAGGTCAATTTTTAGTCGTAAATCACAAAACAAGAAACACCAACAAAAGAGATTATTCTATTACCAATAAATAACATGAAGTGAGATGTTGCTTAGGATTATGTATGTTTGACAAGAGTACCCATCAAACCAAGTATCTCCTCATTCTTTGGTTGTGTTATTTGCAACTCCAAAGTCACCTGTTAAAAAATAAGGAACAAGGCATTATTTAACTGTCAACAGAAGAAAAAGAAGACAGCTCTCGATAGTAGCTCAAAATCATGATCAGTAACAAATGTGAAATATTTTCAAATCTTGTGAATGAACTTGAAAATTTCCATTATTTATTAAAACATTTATTATGCTCTCAATAATGCGACACCTTGTTACACTATACTACAGCATTTTAATAATTATAAGTTAATTATTGTAAATAAAATATAATAGTCAAGTTATTCAGGATAATAATAGCGTAATGGCACCACAGCGTATTTACAATCATCCCCATAATCAAACATATAATTTAATGCAAAATATTCTTCAGAATCACTCCCACACATAATAGAATTGTCACTATCAGACGTGGACTATTAGATGACTACACATTCATATAACAAACAAAGGAGTCCAAATCTAGCAACTCATCAAAATTTCCTTCGGCTGTCTTCAGCTGTCAACGACACTGAGAATTGAGATCCAAATTCTTGCCATTTCACATCTAATTCTAACCTCTATTTGAGCAGAGGTATTTTTTCATCTCTGTCTAAAATTATATATTGCATACAGAGAAACTAAAACATCAGAGTATTCGTAATTCCTTTAATGGTGAACAGTATTGCCAGAATTATGTGACTGGGATTTCCATTCTAGCCAATTTTCACTTGTTTTCTCTATGAATTTTAGAGAAAATAATTGAGACCAGAATTGATAGCGAAAAGGACAGTTAGATTCCTTAACACATTTTACGTCAATAACTTGCACTTCCAACTATATGAGAAGTGAGAACAAAGCATAGGTACTTTAGCTTATTAATAGTTAACGCACCCATTGAAATTTAAATATGCTCACCTCTTTGAAGATGTTGCTATATGATGTTTGAACAAACCCCTGCACCAAATCCATGAGCTAAGTCAATATTAGAGAACTTAACAACCTTTTGGAAGATACAGAGAGACAGAAGCGAGAGATGCTTCGTAACACTACTATTGAGTACATGAAATCAATCTATAGAATGACCATGTTTCTAATAATAATAATTTAATATTTGCATAACAAAATGTTTCATAAAATTGTAAGGTAGGTATACATTTTTCTTTTCCAATGACTTACAATAATGTGATTAATTCAATGTGTTAGGCGAAGCCTTTGAAACAAAAGAGGGCGAGGCGGCCATATACAAGAGGAATGGTATCTTATGTTTGCTTTCTAAATCTCCCTCCTTATATTCAACAAATACAATGCATATGCCATGCAATAAAAAAATTTTATTGACCAAAAGCATCATGTCATTTGACAACTTTAAATAAGTTAAAATGTTCAGTCGTAAGACACATCATGCCTTTAATATAAATGGAAAGATATTGGTCAATACATACATAATTTAAATTTCATACACACAGACACGTATGTATATGGGTACATCAAATGTCAAACTTGGACACATACACTATTTAAAAACTTTTCATAGATTGTGAAATTGTCCAATACAACCAGTAGTTTGAAGGTTCTTATTATGTAGATCAACTACTATAAAAATAAAATTAATCAGTACTCCATCACGTTACTTTATTTTAATAGATATTATATTTTCAAAATATAGTAAATATTAAATTTTAAATAATATAACTATAAATTTCCGAATTATATAAAATTTGATATATATGATCATAAAGATAATATAAGATGATTCAACAGTAAGATTGGTCAACTTTACATTCTATGAAAAGTTATTAAGAGGTCTAAGTGTCCAAGTTTAATACCTTGTATCAAAGTATCCTAACTATATATGTGTGTGTGTGTCTGTGTATGCAAAGGAAAAGATAGAGAAGCAGAAAACAAACCAATTTTCTGAACAGGTCAAGGGATGCTTCATTAGATTCTCCAATTTTAACCTGAAATATGTTGATTCCAAACTTCTCAATAGCAAAGGCCATCATCATCAAAACAGACTCCTTCCCAAGTCCTTTTCTACGGCTATGCTAGCAAACAGCAAAGTGATAAAATGTTAGAATGAAGAGATTTAACACTTACTGTAAAGAACCAAATCAACCTAAAACCTTAGGATGTTAGATGTAGATGCAAGAAAGGCTTTTATCTCTAGCATTTGCATAATCAAGTGAATAAAAGGTTAGAGCAAAAGATCCCAGAATACAAAACTAAAAAGAATACAAACTTTTTAAAAAGTTTGTTCTTGAAAGTTTTACATGCTCCTTTCATCAAGGAAAATCATTCAAATGTAGTATCATTAAAAATTGCAATTAATACACCTAATTTCACCAAAAGAAGAAAAAAAATGTAAACATGAGAAAGAATAGGAGAGGAAAGTCTACAATTAGTTGGGAAGGAATACAAATTTTAAGCATTTCCTTTGGATGTTAAGAGATGAAAATTTGGAAAAGAAGACAAGCAAGTAATTTCATCTATATTCTCCTATTCTTGCTGTCTCTGATTTTCATTTGGGTATCTATTAAGCCATTGACCAAGGATTATACATAGATAGTGCTACCATAAAATCTCAACTTATTTCTATTGGCTCATGTCTTAATTTCTAAGTCACACCCTAATACCTGCACATTTGCACCTTCATCCACTCCAGTTTATTTTTCAAAATGAAAAGGAAGGAAATTCAATTGCTATAATATAAATGATGTATGAAATGCTGTTAGCAATGAAGATTTGGAAACAACCAGTAAACCAATTATAATAATGGCAATACACGAAGAATGCAGCAACTAGGATATGAAACAAAAGTCACAGTAGCTACCTCTTTAGTTCAGCTATCATTATTTCAATCTCTGCCATGTGAGGATTATCCAAATCATTCATGAATATATTTACATCACCAGCCATGGCTGCAAATAGGAAATATTAGTCTCGTGTTTTACTAAATTAATTGCAGGCTAAAAACATTGTTAGGCCCTCAGATGTGGAGGGTGAGCAGCTGCTGAACTTGGGCCCAGCCAAGCCCAAGTTATGGCACATTTATTCTAGAAGGAAATCATCTTCTCCAGCTGCCAGACCATTAGGGAGAGAGAAAGAGGTTAGTTACGGGAATGTGGTTTTAGGAGGGAATAGCTGAGAGGGTGCACATGTATTCTGTGACTTGGTGATCAGGAGAGACCTCAGGCTTAGGAGTGTATACTCTGGAGGAATTGTATATCACTGATACGGTTTCTGATTGATTGAATAATACTTTCTCATTTCTCATTCATTCTTACCTTACCTGCATAATTGAATCTGTGGATTCCTAACAGAAACAGCCCACACGCGTGCAGGCCAGCCCAAATAAATAGTGAGCTATCTTTACCAACCATCACGGATATAAGGATCAGAATAAATTAAATAATCATAAACAACTCTACCTCTCTCCAGCCTATACCACATGACACAATATTCAATGGGAATCATTACAGTTTGAAAACAAAATGAAATATGATTGAATACAGAAAGTTCACCAAGATCTAGAATAACTCCCAAAGATAAGTTAAAAGTCAACAATAAAAAAAAAACAACAACAACTAAGTCTTATTCCACTAAACAAGGCCAGCTACGTGCATTACACAACTTCGATCAAAAATCAAATTTTTAGAAATATTATTAATCAAAATGTCTCTTTTAACTTCCTTTAAGGTTCTTTTGGGTCTTCATCTACCCCTTTTTACTGGACTAAAAATCACAACATTCACTCTTCTCACTGATGCCTCCAAAGGTCTTCTCTACATGCAATATTTTCAATCATCTTTTTCACCTTAAGTGTTACTCTAATATTCTCACATATACTATCATTTATTATCTTGTCATTTCTCGTGCGACTACTCATCTATATTAACATTTTCATTTCTGTCAGTCTCACTTTTTCTTTCTATTATTCTTTCAAGATCCAACATTCACTACCATATATGATAGCTGTGGTTGTATTAAAGTACGATAAAACTTTTCTTTCAACTTGATAGATACTTTATGGTCATAAATTACTTCTGATGTCTTTCTCCACTTTAATTACTCAACTTGTATTCTATGAGAAACATCTTCATTAATTTTCTTATCATACAAAACAATATGTTGAAGTGCTTCCTAAATCACACAAGTGATCCCAAATTTTATTAGTGTTGCAGAACCATTTATGGGAGGTATTTTGGGTCAAAACTAAAAAGCTTCAAATGGGTTAAAAATAACTGATTGGGTCTCCTTGTATTTTTGCACCTTCTTTTCTCTAATCTTTTAGTCAGGTGACTTTTCGGTGAGCTACTGGTGTTTTACAGCTAGTTTCTGGTAAACCATGGTTCTTTGACTGACCCTTGTCCTGTATTCTGCTAAGAGCTCTGTTTTTTCTCTTTGTTTTGCTATTTCTTGACAAGTTGTTGTCCTCTCATTGTCCTCTCATTGTCCTTTACTTTTTTTGTCTCATCTTTTTCTGTGTTTCATTGGTTTTATTTTCCAGCTATTTTGTTCTTTTTATTTATTTATTTTGTCTAGATCTCTCCTCATTCAGTTCTAATTTTATTTTGATTTTAAATGTTTTGTTACTTTAAAGACATTGATTTAGAGGTTTAAACTTGTTTATTTCCTTGACTTATATTTATTGTCTAAACCTCTTTATTTCAGCTTTCCTTGACATTCCTTCTCTTTTTTTTTTTTTTCTGAAACCATTTTTCCTTTCTTGGTTTTATTCTCTCTCTGTGTTATATATATATATATATATATATATATATTATTTTAATAATTGCCATGCTTCCACCATGGCTTCCGCCCGCCATTGATAACATTGCATATATATATATATATACCATGAAAGCTAAAATAAAGATGTTTGGACAATAAATATAAGTATATAACAATAAAAGTAAAAAAGAAATACACAAGTTTAAACCTCTAACTCAATGCCTTAAACTAACAAAACATTATAAAATAGATAAATTAGAAATGAATGAGGAGATTTAGACAAAATAAATAAATAAATGAGGAGATTTGAGTTCACAGGTCACTTTGGACCAGGTCGGGTCAAAGGCCCAACTCTTTTTTTTCCTCGAAAACTGTCATGGCCACCAAGCATGTAATGGCGGCCATTGTAAACCCGCCATGTTCCACCATGATTGTGGCAGTTTGGGCAAAAACCACAAGCAACATCTGCAATGGTGCCATCATGGCCATTTTTTAACAACACTCGTATTCAAAAAGATGAAAGAAATATACACCTGAACAGGCCCAACTAGAATGATACCTGAACTTCACAAGACCCTAGTTTCATCCCCTTAATCATATTTTAACAAAATCAACATACCAACTATTTATAGTCATGCATATACAGCCAGCCATAAACAGTTAAATCTGAACAATGCTCCTCTGTATCATAGAGGAAAGCTAAATCCACTTTGATTGGCCAGTAAAAATATGAAATTAAGGAAGAGTAGAAATTATGGAATATGGAATTTGACAAACATCATTAACCCAAATTCTACCAAATAAAAGCTAGCAAGTGAAGACCTTACTCTTTTCTTTACAATAATAGTAATAATAATAATAATAAGAAAAGTCAAGGGAAACAAAGGAGGTAGAAAAGGGCAGTGACCTTCAATGTGGGGTTCCCCGTGCGAGAAATGGCCAACAACAAAGTCCTTGTCCAGCACAATAAACGTCTCCTCTGCAAAAATCACTTGATCCATAAGTCACATTCAGTGTTTGGGACACATGCACATAGCATAAATAGAGAGAGGGAGAGACAGAGATAAAGAGAGCGAACTGTTAGGGTCTTGGGACCAAGAGAGTTGCATATGGTACTCTTGGTCAAGGGTGAGAGGCTCAGATGCTGTGGCTTGAAGTAGAGAACCGTCTTGCATCCATTCATGATATTTGGGAACATGGGTCTCCATGTAAGGCACCAATATCACCTTCTTCCCTTCTAAACTCACACTCCCTTTCCTTCTCTCTTCCATATTATATCACTACTCTGCACTACCATCCCCACACTACATTAAAAACCTACCTTCATATATGTATTACCAAATTGCAGTGTAAATAGCCACAGATGTAAGAAAAAGGAATAGATACCAATGCACATTTAATAGAAACAAGGAAGGATACATAGAATACAAAAACAAACAACCTAGCATAAAAGGATGTATATAACAATGAACTGAATCTTAAATAATGGTATCATACCCAGTTTTCTGGTTCAAATTCTAACACTACTCCAGAAAACAAGCATTTAATTTCAATGATTTCTAGAGTTGTTTAAACATTCTTCGTTAATTTCTAACTGTATAATAGTAAATGATAAAATAAAACGAATTATTAAAATGAATTAATTTTTATAAAAAAAAAATAATGATCTAGTTCTTGGCATTAGAAATAATAACATTATAGGAAAATCAAACAATAAAATCACCCATATAGTATAATAGGCATGGGCTTAAGCTTGTTTTCTCTCTGATAGTTATAGATATGATACTTTTTACCAGGCTAGTCTTCTGATAAATAAACTAAATTATCAATCGGAAGCCCTTATGCCATATCATATAATTAATTAATTAATATAAAAAAGAAATCAAACAAATTTTGTGCAAGCTTCTAATTATTCGTAAATGAAAAGGATATAATAGTAATGATTACTACAATTATTCACAGCTTCTAGCAGACCACGCTTCCAACCTCAATACAAGTAAATTATAAAGTATTGTTTCCTGAGAGGAATGGAAAACTTAGACAACAATCAAGAAAAGTAAATACTACTTTATTACATATCTCATTACCCTTTTCTATATATTTATTTAAAGTAATTTTTCTGTGATGGATAGATGATTAAAGTATCACTAATCAACTGGTTTCTGTTTTATACATTAAAAAATAAAACTCACATAACGATCAACTCCATCCATAGGGCCACAGCAAAACTGAATGCAGTCACCTAACTCGCTATAAGACCTTTTAACAATAAATTGAGTTCACCCACTACTACAGAAATAACCACGGTTTAGAAGGCTTAAGTTAGCAATTTTGCCCACGAAATATATGAGTGCAGACAGACTCATAAACTACCATGATAAAAATCTTTTCTTAGCGGTTAATTAATTGCCTGCTACAACATTGGGATTTCAATTTTTATCTTTCTTTAAAAAATACTTTTTCTTAGCAGTTTTTTCCAACAACTGCTGACAATATAAACAGTAACAAATGGGATGATCACACACGACACTAATTAAATTCCTTATTCCTAATTAACTAATTCCTTTTGTAGTTATCAAACATTAACTAATTCCTAATTTAATTTCACATACATGATAACAATTGTGGCCAAATAATGCTCAGAAATACAAGTAGTGCTCAAAGTCTCACTTTTGGTTTGGTTTCAGCGATTCTCTTCCTCTTGCGTGCCCTCAATTTCACAAGTTTGGGTAGCTCAAATTCAGTGCTCAAATAATCAAGAAGCTCTTACCAGTGCTCATCGCTAGGTTCATTGTGCTCGTTGCAAAAAGCAACAAAAATCAATAAAATACAATAGCAGCAAATATCAGTGATATGCAAACAAATATCGATGAAAGAGGAATCATGCTTACAGCATAAACTGAGGACGCGGTGAAAATAGGCTCGCGGTGAAGAGGAGTCGGTGGCCAGTGGGACCAGAGTGGGACAAGTTGAAACCTAATTCATTTATATATACTAACATTTCTTTACGGCTAAATTCAAAACCGTTTAAAATAATCAAATATTTTCTTAGCAACTTTAACTAAAATTAACCGCTAAGAATAAAAATCTAATTGCTATAATTAAATAAAGAAAGAGACTTTAAAAGTTGTATTTATGTGTAATTGTTAAAAAAAATAAAAATATAAATGAGATAAAATTATCAATATTTATAAGCTTCATTCGATTTTAACAACCTTTTCAAAAGTTATCTTTTAAAAAATTTAAGATAATTTAATTTAAGGTTACCAAATATTTTACTAATTTATTTTAAAAAAAAATTATAAACTTCTAAATAAGTTATAAATTATTATTACTAAATATAACCTTAAAAATACAAGAAATGCAAGTACGTCTAAACATCAAACACCATATTTATATTACCGAAAGTGATCAAACTATAAACTTTTAAATAAAAATTTAAGAATGCAAAATTCAAAATTAATTAATTAATTAAAATAAATTAAATTAAAACTATTTTTCAAAAAATGATAAGATAAATCACATCCAAAACTTGAACCAAATTTTTTTTCAAATCTACGAATTTTTATAAAGTTATGAAATGTAAATTTCATTATCATGATTAAACATAGCCAATACATCAACTTTACTAATCACAACATCATAAAGATGCACATAAAGCACAATAGTAATTAACACTTCAAGTTATAATGAAAAGTATTGCAATTTTAAACAAATTTTACTAAATTTTATTGATTTTTAAACAATCATTTATTTAAATTTGAGAAGTATTGTTCATTGGCAAATATACTAGTCAAAAATTAATAAACTGTAAAGTCCTCAAGGGATTTCAATGGCATTGAATATGAAGTTGAAATAAATGTGAAAATGTAATGTGTATAAAGTGGTATAGAAATTGTATAGTCATAATATATGTATTATAACATTTCGGTTGATGTTATTATGATATATGTGTTATAATACATCGACAGGTGCAATTAGGACACATGTGTTGTGACATGTTAATTGACGTGGTATAATACATATATTAAGACGTGCAAATTAGTAAAAAGATGCATGATTTGAAGTGGTGAACATAATTGATTGTTTATCCTATGTATTCCTTTGTGATGGCAATTTGAATTATTTGAGTGTTATTGCTAATATAAATCCATGTTAAATAATACTTCTAGCATTGTATATATAAACATGTAATTATCTTGCTTATGTTAACAACAGATTTAGTGGGGCAGGAGATACTCACCCTTAATAATATTTTCAGGTGGTGAAAGTGAAAAAATAAAAGTGTTTGGTCCGTCCTAGGATTATAATCTAAGGGTATTAGAAGGAGGACTGCTCTATAGGGACTAGGACCATTTGAAAAATTGTATTATTTTATCTTAACTATATTTCGTGATCAATAAATTTGGCAATGATTTAAATGTCAGATTTTAGGATTTATGATACTTGGGCCAATTTTCATTGTAATGAATATCTTGAAAATGTTCTTAGTGGAAATCCAAAATTTATGTGTATTAAAAATGAACTAAATGATTTTCCAGAAGTAAAGTTAAGTTTTATTTGATTATTTCAAAGTTTCAAAGTTTTACCCTTGGAAGCTTGACTCTTTTTTTGGAATTTTACGAAACTTTCATAAGAAAAAATAAAGTTTTGTCCTTATTTTATTATTAAATTCATGAATAGAAATGAATTTATTTCTATCTGCTATAAGAATTTGTTTATTTGAATAAAGAAAATAAAGGCATTACAATTTGGTATCAGAGTAGGCCTCTCTCCCAGTATCAGAGACTGTGTATACAGTTGATGATAACTTAAAGGAATTTATTAGGACTACCTATGCATTTAATTTTTCGTGGCCTATCACTTAAAAACTCCAAAGTTAAGCGTGCTTAATTTAGAAAAATTATGGGATAGGTGACCTTCTGAGAAGTCTCGGGAAGTGTGTGAGTGAGGACAAAGCACACAGAAAAGTCTTGTGTTGGTTTATGGGAACAGTCATCAATCTCGAATAAGTTGCCGGACTGTTACAATAATGGTATCAGAGCAGGCCTCTCTCCCAGTACGGTGTGGTTCGAGGATGAATCAAGCGGAAGCTGGTGAGCATGTGATAACCAGGCGATAGGCGAAGGCGGGGAGTGATCGTCGGTGCAGTGTGAGCACAGGCAAGGAGCGGCTCCTGGCCAGCTTTCGGCAATAAGGAGCACATGAATGAATCGAACTTACATCAGAATGAATGGGGGATCTAGAGACTGTGTATATAGTTGAAGATAACTTAAAGGAATTATTTAAGACTACCTATACCAACAAAATGTATTTACTTTTTGGTGGCCTATCACTTAAGAACTCCAAAGTTAAGCATTAACTTTGGAGCAATTATGAGATGGGTGACTTTCTGAGAAGTTTCCTGGAAATGTGTGAATGAAGACAAAGCACACTGAAAAGTCTTAAGTTTGTTTGTGGGGACAGTTATCAATCCTGAATAGTCGCTAGGTAAGGGCAGGGAGTGATCGCTGGTGCAATGTGGCACGGATAAAGAGCACTCCTGATAGGCTTTCGGCGGCAAGGGACACATGAATGAATCGAACTTACACCGGAATGAAAGGGATCCAGAAACTGTGTATACGGTTGAGGATAACTTAAAAGAATTGATTAGGACTCCCTATACTAACAAAATATATTTATTTTTTAGTGGCCTATTACTTAAGAACTCTAAAGTTAAGCGTGCTTAATTTGGAAAAATTATGGGATGGGTGACCTTCTAGGGAGTTTTCAGGAAGTGTGTGAGTTAGGACAAAGTACGCAGAAAAGTCTTGTGTTGGTTTGTGGAGACAGTCATCAATCCTAAATAAGTTGTCGGGTTGTTACAATGTACATAATTGTTTCCAAGGCTTCACTTCACATATGTTTTGATAAGTTACATTCATTCATCATGCTTCTCATCTGAGTATTCTATTAAATCTTTCGGTTGCACCATTTTGTTCAGGACTCTCAAGTACAGTGTATAGTATAATTATTTCACAATGATGCAAGTACAAAGCAAATTGTCCCATATGTTGCCCTACAACATCATATTGATCAACATACTCTCCACCATGGTTAGATCTTACAATCTTGATCAATTTTTTTAATTGTTTTTTCACTTAATTTTAAAAAGTTTGAATTTTTCAAGTGCTTCAAAAAAAATTTTAATTAAATAAAGATATTTATAGTGAAAAAAATCATTAGTTTCTATAAAAGATTTATAAGAGATTTTCACTTTTAATTACATCTTTTCTTTTTGTCTTTGTAAACTTTTCACTAATACAATCCAAACAAGTACCAAAATCATCAAAATTCAATGAAGGTAAAATATTTTCCTTTGTCAATCCCTCACTTTTTTCTTAGAAATATGATTTAAACGTTTATGCCATAAAATTAATTTTTTTTCTCAATTTTAGTTCTTATAGTCATAAAATTCTTAACATCTAAAAATGAAAATTTTTTTATCAAAAGTCAAAGAAAATTTATATAAATCATTAACTAAAGATACATAACCAATAATTTGAGAGATTAACATCACTTTATTTTCCTATCACCAAAGGTAAAACTAGAAGTAAGTATATGAGTTGTAGAATCACTATCAACCCATCTAGAATCTATAGGGATATTACTAGATTAGATTCATAATAAATAAAGGCTAAGTGGCTACCTTCTTAATTTTATTTGTTTTCTAACTAAGTCTTGAACTTTTTATAATAAGCTTTCTTATACCATTTTTCCTTACACTAGAAGCACTAAACCATCTTCTTAAAGACAACTAGCTTAAGATCTTCTACATTATGGTGATGACTCTTGATTTTCCTGAACCTTGATATTTGTAAGAAACATTAAATGTACTCTTCGTGTTTTTTGAGTTTTCTTTACCAAAAGTGAGTTTGTTATGGACAGACAAAAGAGTTATATCACTCTTTTTTTTCTTAAGTTTCTTGTCTTTAGGACACTTGGTCATAAGGTCATTGACACTCCATTTTGCACCAATAATACTATGAGTAATTTTAATTTATGTAAAGTCAGCAGGTATACATTTTAAGGCATGTTCAATAACAAAATTTTTATTAAGGTTAATTTGGTGAGATTTTAACCTAATTTGAAGGTGAACCATTTTCATAATGAATTCTCTTACTCCCTCGTGTTGTCATATCTCATGTTTTTTAATTGTTTCATTAGATGCCTGGATTCAACATTATTAGATATCTAGTACATCTTTCCTAGAGTAGCAATAAACTTCTTTGTTATCCCTCTGAAGGACCACTAAAAGATTTTTAGAGATAGTCCTTTTAATAACAATTGAACTCAACCTATCAGACATTTTTCATCAAGCCAAAAGCTTCTTTTGTTTAGTTATGCTCTCTTTATTTATTATTGGCTTATCTTCATACAAAGCTAAATTAAGATCAACAATTTTTAAAAAGAATTCCAAATCTTGGTTCTATTTTCCATAGTTTGATTCAATAAGCATTTCAATGGGTGCATAACATTTGTTCATAGAAAAATTCATTATCAAGACAAAATAGGAACACATCAAAACATATCACATGATAAGATATGGTTCAAGAAGGTTATAAGTTATTAAAGTGACAATAGTAAAATAGTACTCTCCTTTTTAAGCACAAAGCACAAATTAAGGTCATTTACTCATGTCAATACCTTAGGTAAGTTAATCCATAAACACACACTAAAATCTAAAAATTGTCCCCTTTGGGAAAAAAAATCTCTTAACTCAATGCATTTCTCAATAACTCTACCATTTTCAACTTTTCACCCAAATATACAACTATCCCTTTTGGATAAACAATTACATGTAAAGATCAAAAGCATTCCTCAAATTACAAAAATCTCCATGAACAAATACAAATAATCCTATTTTAGCAGTAACAATTTATGGAATCTATAAAAAAATTTATACTAGAATCAATTATCTC